TAAAATGGGAAGAAAAGGATTTTTTCTATTCTCTGCTTCCCATAGACTACATGACTTGCTGAATAGGAGGGCCATGCACATGGTCTGGGGACAGCAGGGCAGACCCTATGAGGAGAGGCTACAGGACCTGAACCTGTTCAGCCTTTGCAAGAGAAGGCTGAGGGGGGACCTGGTGGCCGTCTATAAACTTACTGGGGGGACCAGCTGGGTTTGAGAGAGACCTTGTTCCCCTGAGCGCCTCCCAGAGTAACAAGGAATAACGGCCATAAGTTGTTAGAGAGTAGGTTTAGAGTAGACATTAGAAGGTGCTACTTCACAGTCAGGGTGGCTAGGAACTGGAACCAACTTCCAAGGGAAGTGGTGCTGGCTCCTACCTTGGGGGTCTTTAAGAGGAGGCTTGACGATTACCTAGCGGGGGTCATTTGAGCCCGGTTTTCTCGCCTGCCCAGGGCAGGGGGTTGGACTAGAAGATCTACAAGGTCCCTTCCAACCCTACATCTATGAATAGGGCTTTCTATGGTTGCATTCTTTGTTCCTTCAGTTAGTAAAAGAACTCACTGAATTTACTTGAGGGGCAGTGGCCTCAAGATGCAGCAGAGGAAATTGAGGTTGGCGATTAGGAGGAACTTCTGACTATGAGGGTTGTCAAGCACTGGAAAAGGCTACGTAGAGAAATCGTACAGTCTCCATCCTTGGAAGATTATAAAAGCAAGTAAGGCAGACACTTAGCTGGGGTGGTTTATAGTCAGGGACAATCCTTTCTAGAGCAGCGGGTTGAACCAGATGTGTGTATGCACTCCCTTCGAACCCTACGTTCCTATGATCCAATTTGGGCAGAACCTTAATTCTAAATTACTTTTTACATTAAACTTCCCATCTTTTATGAAACAAATTTGCCTACATGCCATATCACAATAAGGCTATGACATATTTCATTTTACTTGCCTATATAGCAAGTATGCAGGGGTAAAGCTGAAGTACCTGGCATTTACTCAGTTCGGGGTTCTATTTTGTCCTGTGTGCACACCGGCCAGAAGAGAAAAGGAGCATGGTCATCCTCTATTTTAACCCTATGGCCTAATACTGTATTTACTCAATTATAAGATGAGGTCCATTCCCCTCCCTCCCCCATTTCACATGGGGGGGAAAAGCCCCTAATCTTAGCATTGAGTACAAGGGCAATGGAGGTGGGCAGGCAGCTGCTGTGGCTCTGGCTCCAGTACTTGCTCATGCTTGGGTCCATAGATGAAGCTGCTGCCTTTTCCCCCTTCCCCGCTGCCTCTGCAGCCCCACATCTCCCCCCCACCCCAGCGTGCAGCCACTGCTCCCCCACCTGCCCTTCTCCCTCTTCCCCTTACCTTGCTCCATGCCAGCAGGCTCCATGCATGCTGCAGCCTAGGGCACGGAGCCCAGGTCTAGCCTGGCTTATAGCTGCAGCATGCAGCCCATGTGGTTGCGACAGAGCTGGGGCTGGAGCCATGCTCAGTGCTCCAGGTGAGAACAGGGAGGGAGCCTGCCATGTGGAGGAAGGGTGAGGGGTGGTAGGAGGGAGGAGCAGAAGTTGGAGGGGACAGAGAAACGGGCAGAGAGGTTGTGGGTAGGGGCAGGAGGGAGAGCAGAGGCAGATGGGGAAGGGAGGTCCCAAAGCTGCAGTGGCGGCAGGCAGGGGGCCTGTGTGGCAAGGCAAAGGCACAAGCAGGGGGCAAGCTGCTTGGCTTCCCCACTGCCTGTCTGCAGAGTGTCCGCATCCTTAGCCAAAGTAAATTTCTATAGCTTCTGTGAATCTGTTGAAGCCAGCTGGTTTAGTCCATATCAGCAGCTGGCCAATATTTGTTTGTTGCTTATTTTTATTTATTTGGTGAGTTAGTTTAGAAAAATTATTTCCTTTTTCTAGTTAAGGATACCAGAGGGATGGCATACATCTTGGTGTTTCCAGTGTCTGTCTCTGAGAATGCATGTAGGGAAGATAAATAAGAAACACATTATATGCTGTACTGATAGTTGTTCTATTTGTCTCTCTCCTCCATAGGCATTTGGGCCTGGATCTAGTTCCTCGGAAGGACTTTGAGGTGGTGGATTCAGATCAGATCAGTGTTTCAGACCTTTATAAAATGGTAAGAACTTTGACTTGGAGAGTCTTTTCTTTCAGTTTACAAAAGGTTCCATTTTCTTATTTACATTGTATGCTTGGGGGGAAACGAGAATATGAATATAATTACATTTTTTGACCACTCTTACTGTTAGTTTCCTTTTATTGCCATTATATAGCTGGTACAAATAGAGATGGATATTCTTTTGGATTGTAAAATTTTGCTTTATCCTTATAAAGGCTCCAGAGTCACATAATGTTTTAGTTATTTTCAGTCCAAAGTAGATATGAAATGAAAAATCAGGTCAATTGTGATGTCAGGATTCTTTCTAAGAGACGTCTGTTGTGAGGACCAGACCCTATTCACCCATTTGTTCTCTAAGTTTCACTTAAAAGCCTTAATCCTTCACCCTCCTGAAATTGCTGAAAAACAATTCAAAAGGTGGGTTGGTCCTGCTCCTGTTTACAGTTTTTTGTGACTTAGTCTTAAGGCTAGGTTGATGGTGTATTACAAAGTTGGCACGTTAATGTTTTTTCAGGGACTTAAATAGGTTCAGATAGGATCGAATAGAGGCCTAAGTGGACTTAGGTACCTAATAGATGGAACAGGATCTGGCCCTTAGTGTTTTACCTCTGTGTTTTATACTAGGTTGAGGAATTTATGCCACAACATTCTTGGTTTTTCAACCTGTTTTTCTAATAGACAAGAGGCTTTCTCTCTGAGGTTATATTACAACATTTGTGTTAATTTTATTCCTTCCCTTTGTTTTCTTGATTTGTTTACATGGCTGTAGTTTAAAATTTGGTATTTCCTTTTTCTCTTTTACTCACTAATGTGTCATCCAGAGGAGCATAGACATGCAGTACGTGGTGCCGCAGACCCATCTGCAGCACCAGACATCAGGCATGCAGGCGTTCCCCATGCTGCTACCTTGCAGCATGGGGAGGGGAGTTGACTGGGAGATCCTGGGGTCAAAAAAACCCACAGCAAAAAAAAAGCAAGATGGTGCATGTGGCAGCAGTACACGCCACCCAAAACCAGAACCTGGCTGCCTAGAGCCATGCTCCAGCTGCTGTCCGGGCTCCCAGCTGCAGGAACGCCACAACTGCAGCTCCCTGAAGACCCCAGAACCCCAAGTAAGGCTGCAGGGCCCAGCACAATGCCTGGCCCCAGCCTACCCTACCCCACCCGGGGAAACCTGCCGCATGCCAGAGCGTGCATGGCATAGACATTCCGCAGGGACAAGTAGCATAGGCACAAGGTGAATTGCTGTTACTTGTCTCCAGGGAAACAAATGTCTGCTGGTCTGGACATGGTGTAAATATTCTATGGTTACTATTTTTATTACCTTGGATTTGTTTTCTGTAAAATCTTATCAACTTTTCTTTCTGAAAAGGAATGATGTTCTATACATTTGGGCAGAATGCAAAGAAAGGGTAGAGGAAAAGGAAGCATGTTGAATAGCTCTAGTAAAATATAAACTGTATATACCAAATCAATAAAAACTTTGGCCTTGGTTTCAAATACTAAGCTGGTAGAATAAAATAGGTTTTTTGCTTTGTTGCACTTGATGCTGTTCCCTATTGATGCATTCCTCTGGAGTGCAGCAAAAGAAGTATTGGCACAGTAGTTCTCAACCTTTTTACACTTGAGGTACCCCTGGATAGTCTTGAGGCATGCCTCAAAAATATGTTAGCCTTTAGTTTTAATTCTTTTGACTACAGAAATATAATAGAGCAATCTTTCTATTGCAGAGAACTCAGAAAGACCACAACAGGGCAGAATGTTTTAACACTGTGGATTCTTGTGTGAAAACTGGGTTTTTCTTGTGAATCATGTCTACATGCCTAACAGTGCTAACATTTGTGTGGCACCCTGCAGCACTCATGGAAGGATCTCAAGACCCCTCCAAGTGGCATGGCACCTTGGTTGCTAATCACTGTATTAGAAGTAGAGGAGATTCTGAATATAAGGTTCACTGAAAAAGGCAAAATCCATTAGACGTGGCTAATAGATATAACATTACACATGAGCCATCCTTGCTATATTCATATGTCAGTGTACCAGAAACAGCAGAAAACTCTTATCCACATCTTCAGTCAGTACTTTTTACTTATGTTGCAGATATTATAATGATAGTTCTAAAATGTATGTGATGTCGGTCCAATACCTTCTGTTGCAAATAGTAGTCTGTCAGATGGGGCACTACTATCAGCTCTGTCATATACTAGGGTTTTGTCCACACACATGTTTTTTCACTTCTTTAAAGCTTCATGAGCTATACAGATTTCAGAATGCTGTATTAATAGGTAATTATATAGTCTAACAAGAAGGCAGATTAACCTCTGCAGGCATTTACAAGCTAATACATAAGAAATCCTACTTTTATAATGTAAAATTACTCATTACTGTCAGTCTTATGGAATAGACTTTTCTCAATTCTGTCCTAACATACAAAAGATTATGACCGTCTCAAATCATCTTGTGTGGCCATTAATATTGTTTTAATAGCAGCTAAAGATTGGACCTCTTATATGCCACAGAGCCAAGCTTGCTAAGAAATTCCTGCCTGCTGTGACATAGCTGGTATTTAAGAGAAGGAAAAATGAATCTGCCACTGTATAGATCCATTGGTCATTCTCTTTTTCTAGTTTGGGGTTTATCTTAACCATACAGCTAGAGTAGCAGCTACAGAATAACTCCACTGGTTCAGAAGAGCCTAATAATTCCCTCCACCACCTTATCTCTGAAGAACTTCCAGGATCACAGCTTACTGTTCAGGATTGTTTTGGGGTCATAACTTAGTTCATACCTCTTATTGTTTCAGGTTACAGATTCAAGAAGACAGTGGTGTTGAGTGATATTCAGTTCTTAGCTGAAAGGTTATTTTCACAAGCTAAAAGCCTTTAAACATAATTTTATTTAAAGGAAGACTTAGGGCCTTGTTACACATTAATATTAGGTGGCTCCTGGAGCTCTTAACTCCTGGACTGTCCACACAGTAACACCTGAAACTAAGTTTAAGCAGGCTTTAGACAACTTAAAGTTTACCTCTGATCCGTGTTACTGAGCTTGTGTTCCATTAATGAGTGGACACTCCTCACAGATGAGCCACCTAAATTGCAATCCTCCAGCCTCCCAGGTTGCTGTGTCCCCTCTCCCACCCTCTTGTTTTGTGTGGCACAAACTTTCTACTCCCTGCACGCTACTGTTCTGGGGGTGGTATCAGCACCAAGCCAACTCCCCCTCCCACCCCTGGGGGTGTGGCCCGCCCACCCCCAGGGGTGCAGCCCCATGCAGACAGCTTACAGAGCACAAGCCACCTCGCCAGGTGGCATAGTTTGGACATTTCCAAGAGGGGTCGGGGGGGGAAGGCAGGGGACAGGGGAGGAACAAGGAAAGGGGCCAGAACAGGTCTCCACGAGCTAGGGCTTTCTTCCTGGGGAAGGGGCAGTAGCTCCCCCAAAAGCATCTTCCTCCACTGCTCCCACTTCCCATCCATCCCAGGAAGCATGACCAGCACCCCCATACCCCTATCTTAAATCCCAGTTTATTAAAACAAGACCTTCTTTAATTTACTTCCTCTTTATTTATTTTTCTTTTTATTTTATCTTTCAGTGACTGGCTTCCTTCATTTCACTGCCCTTCCCCACCCCCATCCCTTAACTCTGGTCCCCAGCTTTAAGGTACCTGCCTTCTCGTATACCTGAGCTAGAGCAGGGATAGAAGCCTGTCCTGGTTCACCAGCCTTGTAATGGCAACTCACAGCTGTAGCCCCTAGTCAGGCCCCTGCTCACCAGCCCTCTAGTGGCAAGTCACAGCTGTGCAGGTGGGGGATGGTCAGAGGAGGTTTTTAGCCTTGGGGTGTAACCTGCTCCAAGCTCAAGCTAGCACTAGCGCCGATCAACATTTGAGCAGTTCAGAGTGTAGTCTGTAACAAGTACGGATGTGCCAAACGGGCCATATTAGATTTAGATTCAGATTCAGCCTGAATCAGGGGACAGCGATTGGCCACGGGGGGATTGGCCCAGGCCTCTCTCCCGCCAGACCCAGGAGGCACCAATCGCTGAGTGGGGGGTGGGGGTACCTTGTGCGCTCCACAGAGGACCTGGAAGTGGACCGGAAGTGCTCCTGGTCTACTTCTGAGTCCACTGCCGAGCACGCTGGCGACCACCCCACGCTTCTGTGGGACACTCCATCCGTCCCAGCATCTCAGCATTCATGAGCCCTGCCTTGTACCTTGAGGTATGTAGAAAAAACGTTTAAAGCTGTGTCTATGTCTGAATCGTCCCTGCAGCTTTTGCACAGTACACCATTATTTTCATCTTTTTTTCTCAGAATCACTTTGCCTTCCGCCTTGTACAGGCTGTTCCTTCAGGTTATTTATTGGAAAGTTAAACAATAGTGACTTCAGCATAAAAAAAATCCATCTTAAATTGGGGGAGTTTTTTTTCCTTTAAGAAAAACAAATTATTTTTTTCATATGAAGATATATGTGCTCTAAAAATGATATAAGCTAAATAGTACTTGTTTTTATTTATGTAGTTTTTAAAATCCTGGAAACATGTTTTCAGATCCTTCCACATGGCTGGAGTTGCCATTGGATTTAATTTATATCAGTCAGTAGAACAGGCCCAGCAGCATATAAATAACAGTATGACACTGCTATTTAGCAAAAATGGGAGCAAGAAACAAATGCATAGGACAAATCTCTGCAGATATTTGCAGATTTCAGAAAGGTTTGAGTCTAGCTTCTGAATATTTGTTTAGCATTTTTTTCCAAGTTTTGATTGCTTTTTGTGAATCACTGAGATACCTGCAGGATGAATACCTGAGATGTGAAGAAAACAGTGTTACTCACTATATTTCAGCCAGGTTTCAGCTGTTTGCCTTTTTTAAAAAGATTATTAATATACCAGAATTTCTTTAAAATACACTGTTTTTGAAGAGATGTCAGGGATTTACATTTCAAGCTCATTAACTGTAATTTCCACTGGCTTTGATTTTTGTTTAAACAAACTAGTAAAACTCAAGGCAGTTTATCATGTTAGATAAAGAGAAATTTTGATTGATATGATGCAGCTTTACTGCTTGTATTTCAATAAATTGCTGTGTATGGAATAAGGGAAGCTAAATCAATTTAGAAATAGGATTGCAGAGAACATAGATATTGTTTTGAAGACAGCAGAGAACATGGAGGGAACAAAGACATTTCACTGTGGCTGCCTTATTCAGAATTGGAGATCTTTATTAATTTTTTTAGTGTAAAAATATCATACAAATTAAAAAGGCTTCTGCTCAGTTTCTGCTTTTCTTTCCCTAGTCCGGTTTGTAGAATTCTTAATCACATTACAGAAAATTTTCTTTAGAAGCAATGTGACTTTAAAGGGTCCATATTTTGACTGTGGATAGAAACATTATAACTGAGCATTTGGTATATTTCTAATACTCTGAGTTTGATTCAGATGGCTATTATGATTGTACTATTATGACCTTCTTATTATATATATGTATGCCCTATATAAATGATTACTCCTAATAATAATAACTTCCAAATCTAATTTCTCTTCTACTAACGAAACTGATAAAACTATTAATCTGAACAATTTTTGCCATGGAGTAGATTGGATTTAATCCCCTGTGTGAAACATTTGACTTTGCTTGCAAGCTGAGGTGGCTTAGAACACTACTGATGGGGACTTTTTTTAGATTCTCTGAGGGAACCAAAGAAACTCCTCTTTGCCTCTCTCTTAGCCACTACATAAAAATCTGTTTCAGCAGTAAGACTGGCATTGGGCTGTCCTGCACTGAATATCTTTATCTTTTCCTGTTTTTGATTTGGGGTTGGATTTTTTTGTTTGGTGGGGGGAGGGGTTGCAGGCGAGGAAGGGAACAGCATGAGGTGTTTTGACCATTTACTATAAGAATATGAGTGAGGATATTATTTCTCCAAAGCCAAATATGAATTTGGTGGTTAGGTTTTTTTGATGATGCCATAGCCAAATACCAAACTTTCAGCAGACATAGTACTGGAACCCATAGAAGACACCTGAGTTATTTGTACAAGTGCTATTAAAAATCTCAAATGATGAAGATGCTACAACCTCCCTTAGTAATCTGTTCTGCAACTAAACTGTCCTTAGCATAAGAAGAATTTTCCTAAGGTCTAACCCAAATGCTCCTTGTTGTATTTGGAACATATTACTTCTTGTTCTGTTCCTAGTAGGCCGTTTGTAGCATCCTCCTTTGCAGTAATTGTTGCTGACTTCTTTCAGTCAGCTTTAAGAAAGAGGCTAGAGAGGCACCTTGACAATGCATAACTTGGCACTTTTCTGGGAAGCAAGAAAGACAGGTTCAAACCCCTCCGGGCTAGAACAAGGGAGGGTTCTCAGCCATTAGGCATGCACTGATAAAGATTTTCTTGACCGATACCAATGACCAGTTATTAACCAGCCATATCAGCTGATACCAATCTGATAGCCAATTTACAGGAATGCAGCCTAGCAGCTTGGAAAGCAGCATCCAGCCGGTAAGTGTGGTGGGGGGTTAGATCGAGGCCCCCCCAGGTGAGGGAGGGAGTGGGGCAGGGGCAGGCATTGCCTAGCCAGGGCGGTGAATGCAACCCTTCCAGGAGTGGGACAGAACCATGGACAGCTTTTCTGGGGAGTTCAGAGGGGGTGGAAGGGAGGCAGCTTCCTGCCTCTGAGCGCACCCCCAGGGGAGGCATGGGGGGCATGTGCCGTCCCCAGATTTGTGCACAGGGTGGAGGCAGGCTGCCTGCTGTGGGCTCAGAGCTAGGGGCTGCACTGGCCTCTTCCCAGTGGGGTGGCTGAGCTCAGGGTGGGAAGGGGTGGGGCAGGCAGCAGCAGTGCTGGGAGAAGGGGCTTTGGGGAATTTTAGGGTGGCTATAAAGTAAGCCCATAGATCCCCTCCCAGTTGCACTGCTGCCTGTCCCACCCTGAGCACAGCCCTGGCCCAGCTCCCTTGCCAGGAAGAGGCTCTCAGGCTCTGGCCCCAAGCCCACAGGAGGCAGCCTGCCTCCACCCTGCACACAAATCAGGGGTGGGGAGGCACATGCCTCCCCTGGGGATGTGCACAGTGGTGGGGATCCGCCCCCCAGATGAGCTGCCCTTGGCTCCGTCCCGCTCCCAGCAGGGTCACATTCACCACCCTTGCTCTGCAGTGCCTGCCCCTGCCCCTGTCTTGCTCCCTTCCTCACTGGGGGGGTGGAATTGATCTCCTCCCCCTCCCCCGCATGCCTTCCTTCCCCCCCATGCTCTTTCCCCCAACAGACTTACCAGCAGGAGGCTGCTCTCCAAGCTGTCAGGCTGCATTCCCGGCCATGTGCATGCTGCTGTTGCACATATGTACACGGCATTTATCGGTGACATTATTAGCTACACTGGCCAAAAAAAGCTGATCGCTGGTTGTAACAGGGTGTAAGCCGAGCCCCTGTTACTATGGGTGAAACCAGAACACAGGTGAACAGGGGAATGAAGATGCACACACCAGGGATAGATAAGGCGATAATGATCACAGCTAAACATAAAAGGAAAGATGAGGCACCAGACATTGCCGTCAGGGCATTGGAAGGAAGAAGAGGAAGAAGACACAGTTCTTGGCAAGGTTACCTGGAATTAGAAGGACGTCGCAAACAGAAATGCGAAGAGACAACCCTGGTCTGGAAAAGCATGGAGGGAGCCCTTACCTCAGGGTTAAGCTGCTGGAGATCAGGCAGCAAGACCTCAGGAAGGTAGGTAGTGTGATCTCTCGTCACTCCAGCCCCTGGCACAGCGCTGGGTGATAGAAGCAGCATAGAACTGCCGTGATAGGAGGGGGGAAGGAACAGCGAAGGAGCTCCATCCGGGGACTAAAGAGGCCAGCAATCAGCCAGACAAACCTCCCCCGGGTTGGGGAGAGAAGAGTGAGGTGCACGAACCCCAAGAACCAAGCTCCAGAGGCAACGGGCACAACTGGAGTGGTGGAGAACCCCCACGGCGAACAGCTGAGCAGCTGGGAGGCTGCAGTCTCTCTCAGCTGGGATCTAGCTGGTTCATGCTAATGAGTTAATTAGCACCAGCAAACAGTTTGCAACTTTGTTAAATAAAATGAGCACTTAGAAAGCTTCCCATTGGGTGGTCTGGCATCCTTTACACTCACCTCAAGGTTTAACATAAGATTTATTTCCATCTTCTTAATTGTGGCAGGCAAGTCTTTGAGGAAGGTAGAGGCAGGTAGCAGATGCATTCCCACACTGATAATGCTAATGTTTCTGTTATCTATGCCAATCCTATATGGGACTAATATATCAGCACACCTCTAGTTCTCATCTAGCTGTGCTTTTTTGTCTTTGTAAAATATCAAGACTTACCTGGCTGTGTGACCATATGTTGCTGAATACCTGCCCAGTCAGAGCACAACACCACTGAGTATGTTTAGTGGATACATGCGGGTTTGTGTGTCCAGAGCTGAATTGTGCATGAGTGTCTACATTCTGTATACATCATTTAGGCACATAAATAAAATAAGGGGTACAGACAGAAGTGACAATTTTTGTCTGATCTGGCACAGAAAGTGGTCTGTAGTCATGACCAAACACAAGTACACAGCTGCAGACAGCTTCAAAAATGGCCGATCAGATGAAAATCTGACCCCTCATTATATGAGGGGTCAGATGAAGACATTTCAAAACAAAGTGTCTTCTGTAACTTCTGTCTGCCTGCCTGCCAGCCTTGAGCTGCTTTCAGAATGGAAGTGGGGAAAAGGGAGCAGAGGGGGTTTGGTCTGGGGGGGTTTCAGCCCCTGCTGGAGGGTGGGACAGGTGTATTGGAGCCCCCCTGATATGGGGAGGGGCTCCAGTTCACCCACCCCACCTTCCAGAGCTGGCTGAGGAACCCTTAGAACGACCTCCCATTCCCTCCCTCCCATTTTGAAAACTTTGCAGCCTAGCAGGGAACAGGGGCTGGTGCTAGGGGAAATCAGCTGCCAGCCAGTAGCTAGATTCCCCTCTCCCATGGAACCAACAATGAACTTCTGTTTGTTCCAGGAGATGTTTGTAACTCCAAACACTTCCTGCAAAGCATTCTCAGTTACAGCAGGGAGCTGCACTTCTGTCTGCACCCAAGATTTAGTCCTCTGTATCCTCCTATATTACTTTCCCAAGAGATGTCTTATATAATGTCCCATATTAATATTAAGTCCTGTATTTGTATGATTCTGTTAACTGAGAAAAATGTTTCCTGAACCAGAATTTCTTGGCTTGGAGGTCTCTAGTAGACCTCTACCATAAAGTCACTTTTGTTCTTCTCTCTCTCTCTCTTTTTACCAAAGACTTTCAGCAGTATTATCTCATACAGTGTTCCAGACCTCAGAGCAAACTTATTTATCCTTGACATACAAAGCAACATGTCTTTGCTTTCCTTGTCCATCCTTTCTAAACATTGTATATCATTCTATATCTGATATTATTCTGATATATGAAAATAAACTGAAGAAGTCTGTTGTGATCTCAAATGGGTCATCAATGGCACACTTGGGACAGAAAAAAAGCAGCAACACATTGGAGGAATAATTTCTGGAAAAGAAAACAAGGAGTATTTTAAGTTTTAAAATTAATATTTAAAGACAGTGTTCTAACTCAGTATAAGATGAATGTGCAAATGTTTCCTGTATAATAAACAACTGCTAATTTGATTGTTTTTCTTTTTTTTTCCTCTGCAGCATTTATCGAGCAGGCACAGTGTCCAGCAGAGCACATCACAGGTAAAATGGCTGCAAGACTTCACTATGTCTTTTTTTTTAAAAAAAGACTGTGACCGAGTATCTGACTGTAAAGAAATAATACAATTACACATTGATTGAAATGTATGTAAAGTGTTTCATGCAAGGATGTTAAAGCTTCACTTACTCCTCCTCAGGTTCCCTCTCCTACATTTGTGCTTCCTTTTCCTTTGCTCCAGCTGTTCCCAGGGCTTCTGCCCTGATGATACCCATGAACAAGATCTACTAATCTAGCGGCCCTGACAGACATGCAGCTCCCCAGTCTAATTTACGATGCTTCACAGAAAACATCATGAGTTAAACTGACCCTACTGACTCAACAGACATTTGTTGTTGGATCGGGGAGGTGTGCAATCTAGCTCCCCTTTGGAGTTGATTGGGGGAGAGAGGCTGTGAGTCTGCAGCATCTGTCCCTTAGCTCTGCACCCTCTCCAAACTCCAATGCTCTTAGGATAGGGGGGAAGGGAGAGGAGCGAGTTCAGTGTGGGATTTCCCCAGCTGTGCTGAAGTGGGGCAGGGGGTGAATTGGAGCCCCCTACCGTCCAGTGCTGGCTGGGCAACCCCCAGACCAAATTCACTCCCCTCCCTTCCCCACCTCCCATTGTGAAGACAACATGTAGAGCAGAGCTCGGATGTGTCAGCCACGCCTTACTCCCAACTGTACTGACAGAGATTAATGAAGGGGCTTTGCTTTAAAGCAGCTTCACCTGAACCCTCATATAATGTTGCTTGATCAGGCATTTTTAAAGTGCTGTGCAGCTGTGCGCTTCTGTCACTGCATGTCTATAGAAGTTTTCAGTGGATGATTGCATGGCAAACTGTTACGTCTGTCAGCACCATAGGTCTTCTCCCTGCTTACTCCCTAATCCCCCTGAAGACTCCCTTTTAATTAGCCTTTCAGTAGTCTCCTGGTTCCCTCTTGGTCACAGACCTCTGCACTTAGTCCTTCTGGAGAACTACACGTTTCCCAAAATTCCCAGGACCACGATGGCTTGTAACAGACATAGTGAATTGAATTAGGCATGTGCTCTGTTATACCCTGATTTATTGAAGCTTCCAGAAAATGTTTCCTTTTAGATAGTGACTTTTAAAGTAGGGTGGATCTAGTAGCTAAAATATTAATATTTTTCTTATAAGGAAATACATTCCCACCACCTTTGAAACAATTTCTTCACAGAAAGGTCAATTTGTTGTCGTCTTGTCACTTATATATTTAATCCTGTTCAAAATATTTGTGTTTGATAGATTTCTATGTTGCCCTCCCCAAAAAGGCTCAGGGTCGCTTACCCTTTACACATATTAGTTATTGTGCAATTAACAAGGTAATTGTGCAGTAAATTTAAACTGGCTACATGTGCAAATTAACTGTAGTGTCTTAAAAAGGTCTAGCCAGCTATAAAGTTATTGTTCAAAAATGTGTAGCTGGTGTAGATGGTTTCTCTCCAGCTTTAATTTGCCCATATAGGTAGTCTGTGGCTGGGAGGTGGTAGCTGCCATGATCTCCCAGCCATTGTGATCTCCTGGCCATGGGATGCTCCACGCACCCCCATGGCTGGGAGACTTATTGCTGGTATAGGGGGAGCCTGATTCTGGGCTCCCTCTGAATTGGCAAGAAGCAGGCCCCCATGGCTGGAAGCTCCCTTTGCTGAGGGAGCTTTTGGTCCCAGCTTGCCACACAGGCACCTGGGACCCAGAGTTCTGCAACAGCGCCCCACATGGGCAGCCACGACCAAGAGCCCTATCAGTTGCAGGGCTCTCGTTCCCAGTTGAACCCCATGGGCAGCCAGGACTGAGAGTCCAGTCAGCTGTGGACCTCTCAGCCCGTGCAGACGTGGGGTGCTGCTGCAGACCTAGGGTCCCAGCAGCCTGTGTGGTACAGCTGGGACCGAGATCCCTGCCACCAAAGGGGGTTTCCAGCCATAGGAGCCTGCTTCTTGCCCAGGATTGGGCGCCCTCTGCACCAGCACTAAAGCACAATTGGATTTAATGAGCGAGCCCATAATCTTGCCTTCTGCCATACATGTGTGGTATGGCAGGAGATGTGATTGTCTGGATCATGCATTCGATCCAATCACACCTTTACCATCTCATGTAGAGGGAGCCTAACGCTAAAACTAATAAAACAAAACACAATAATAAAATAGTTCCCTAAAAAATGCCTTAGCTTAAACCCACCTGCTAAAAGATGGCCAGGCTTGGGCACTTTTGGGCCTCAAGGGGAAGGGAGTTCCAGATTAAAAAACAATATCAGATCAGAATTGAGGTATTGTGCACACATTTGTCATTCCTTTCATACTGATGTCAGTTGGTCACAGTGTATTTAATCCCAATGTATGGGTTACTTGGGGTTTATCTTGTTTTGTTATTCAAACATCAATAGTAAAAGATAAGTCTTAGCTTAATCTGTATTCTACTTATAAAGTCAGATGTTTCTAGAGTTTCCTTAGAGAGGCTGCTCTTTTCTTGATTTCAAGAACTTTCCAAACCACAAAACCAGTTTTACATCTCTTCTTTGCAGAGTGGTAAAGATTCTTCAACTGCTAGACAAAGTCAGCCTTTCGGCAGGTTTCTAATACTGGCTAAGAATGCAAGGTGACAAGAAGAACTCTAACATCACCCTGTTATACTCTTTGTTAGTAACTGTATTATCTAGCATGACTGAAAACTAGGATTGATTTGGGCTTTTTGATGGGAAGGGATATAGATTTCATCTTGGTAACTTTACACATCTAGTTTATTATCTGTTTCTGAAATTACCCAAATGAAAAACAGAGGTAGAAAAAATCAGAAAACTTGTCTTTCATATGTCTTTTTCATAGGATTTAATTTGAGACTAAGCTTCTGTATCATAGAGAAGGAAGAACTGTGCATCTCTGGTGTTGGAGTTATATTCCTCTTATTTATGAAGAAAATAAAACTTATTTTTGTTTTTTAAATTCAGGTGGATACAATTCGCCAGCGTCATGGGGAAGCTTGCCGTATGCCAATACCTCATCATTTCTTCCTTAGTCTAAAGAGCTTCACCTATAATACAATTGGAGAGGACACAGATGTCTTCTTTTCTTTGTATGATGTTCGAGAGGGGAAGCAAATCAGGTAGGGGAATGTCAACTAATTTATATTCTTTTCAGCACATGTAGACAAATACTTAATTCGGTGTAAACAAAGGGCACTTATAGACATGCTCTGGGATTCAGGGAGAGGGAGGGGGGTGGGCACTTTAATTAGCGAGCTGTGCTAATTAAAAATGCCTGAGCATCATGTGTATCAGCATCCCCGTGCTGAAAAATGGCAGCAGGGTGCTATGAAATAAAGCTCATTTGACGAGATTTAGTTCAAAGCGCCCTGCTGCTGTTTTTCAGTGCAGGGACACTGATACACGTGATGCTGGAGGCTGCTGGAGCACATTAATTTCCGCGCTCCAGCAGACTCATTTAATTGAGTCTGCTCTGACGTGCTGGATTTACAGCATGTCAAAGCAGCCTCCCTGCATGTGTGTAAGTGCCCGAAGGCTGGAGAAAAATCTCTGAACTGTCTGTTTAATATGTATAAAAAGAGATTGGCAGTTTTGTGATATATATACTAGAGTATCAAAATACGGTATTTTTTGTGTAAATTTTAGTGGAAGTGAAGGACTCAGTTTGAATAACAAGCTTAAGGAGGGATGTAATGGGGGAGCCTGCTGGGGGTAGATGTCCACTGTCACCCGCTCAAAGGGAACCTCTATCAAGGGCATCAGAATTAAAGGAGCTTTTGGAGGGTGCCTTGGGTTCACTTTTTGGCACAGGGGACATGAAGCGCAATACCTTGCCACTTCCCCCAACAGTCCTAGCCAAAAAAATCTTGCCCAAATGCAGGCTTCTGTTTTGTCCCTGCCCAAATGTCTGCCTATAGGGAGCTCATGAGCGACCTTCAGTAGAGCCCGTTGATATCGCCGAGGTACCAGCAACTATACGACCTCCCCTCCTTCAGGCTCCTCTTGCTCAATTCAGTACAGGAGGTCATTTCTTACCTCAAACCTTGGTGTTGTCTTTATCAGTTCTGGTCGTAATACCTCACCATTTCGTTGAGCCAGGTGTTCCTGCAAAGCATACCGAAAATCTGCCTCCCGACTCTGCTCCAACTGGAAATGTTCGTCCTCCCACAAATGTGTAACATCCACCTCTTGTTTAGCCTCTTCGGGAGGAAGCTGTTCGGTTTCACCCGCGAATCCCTCAGCCCTCAGATCATCTTCTCATCTAGCCTCAGGCTTTCTAGTCTCCCAGGGCCTCCAACAGCAACTTTCTCTCATCTCAATCTCCTCCTTTCGCCTCACACTGGCTATCTCTGTCAATAACTCTGGCCAGTCAGTTATTACCGGGTAGGGTAAGCACTCAGCGACCCCAACTAGCATCTGGCGGGTCCTATCGCCTACTTGCAGGATGACCCCCACTGTGTCGACTTCGATGGAATCCCCGCACCAGCATTGCACAATTATGTGGTCCGCTACTTCCCTCTCTTGCCAGTAACACATCGCTCCATGCCATGGTCTGCAATGAGCCTGAGTCCAGCATAGCCCATACCATTTTTCCCTCCATTGTCACTTCCACTGTCAATGTGGGTGGCTCGTCTCCCACCTCAGAATCAACTCTGGCCCCATGGCCACATGTCCCTACCTGGGTCATTGATCACAGGTGAATGTTACCAGTCATGTTGGCTAACAGTGCCTGTTGTCTTGTGGCTTGATCTTGTAGGCCTTGTATTATTCAGCGTAGCCGCTCCAAGGCTTGCTGCTGTGGCTTTGGGTCTGGGGCTAGCGTGCTCTTGTATTCCTGGTTTCTTTATAGACCCAAGGGTTCTTTCCCTCATATGGGTGAACCAACATCCAATGATTCATACTGCTGTATGAAAAGTTCCTGGCCAATGCACTATTGTGAGGGGGGGTGGGGGGGACCTGCTCGGGGTCCATCTACTGGTGGCCCCACCCTCCTGTTATGGGCCAACCGCCTGCCTTCTCCCCTGCCACACCTTGTTGTTAATTCATTGTTGTTAATTAAGTGGGAGGCTGCCCATTATATGCCCCGATGCCAGGGGGCACTATCTGCAGCTCCATTCCTCCCCTACACTGCAGCCTAAGCCTCGCAGATGGTATTTGTAAATTCCGCTTTGTTGGGGTTTCAGCCACTGTGGGCCTACCCCTTCTCTCTCTAGCTAGACCTGTCAGTCAAAAAACCCCCACTAATCAGGGTTTGACTCCCAGGCTCTAGCTCTCAAAAAAAAAAACTCACTCAGGCTCCTGTGTCCTCTCTGGTGCTGGGGTCAGCTCACCCCCAAATATTGCACCCTCTCTGGCGCTGGGCCTCCACTGAGGCCTCCTCCTTCCCCAAACAGCCTCACCCAAACCACCAGTTTTAATAAAACATAGGCTTCTAAGACCATAGAATGGAAAAATGATAATACAGAAACAAGAGAGGCAACATGCCTGCTTACTTTAGATGATCATGAAGATGGCTCACAGCATGGCGTAGTCTTCCGACAGAGACTGCGGCCGCAACACCATGGTCATTGTGAGTCCCACTCCCTGCTGCCCCTCTGGCCTTCTCCACTTGCCATTTGTAGGATCCTGGCCTCCTCCTTCCTATCACCTGACTAGATGGCAGGGCTTGAGCCTTAACCCCTGCTTGACCGGCCGGCCGTGATTGGAAGGTTCTGAATTTAAAGGGACCACCCTGTCTCCTAGTAACAGGGATAGGGTTCCCTGTTACAAGGGATTGTTCATATGTCCAACTAAGTGTGTATACCTAAGGCTGAGCCTTAAACAGATACGCTAATGGAATCCAAACCTTTCACTGAGTGAAAACTGCTACTGAATAATGAATGAATAATGTTGGTTTGTCCTACATTATGAAAGCTTTGTAAGGAGCACAGATATCAGTATCAGTATCAGTTTAGTTGTTTGGCGGTGACATCCTTCCCTCCAGTTTGACTACCATGCGGTACTATATGGTTGACAGAACCAGTACATGGCTCAGTGTTGTATGAAATAAGTCATATTTTCCCTTATCAAATGTATCTTTTCACAGTACCATGTTGTTAAGAAAGTTACCGTATCTCTATGGTGGAGTCAGGATAAGCATATTGTTGTCATCAAATTTGTTGTCAAGAAGCTGTTTGAGGAATTGTGTACATACCTAGTTCCACCATGAGTCCTTGAGTCTTAACTCTTACTGTGTCATCTTTTTCCTGCACAAAAAAACGCCAACTGATGAGGCAGGTAAAGGAGAAAATTAGTGTATTAGTGTAGTGACTCAGATAAGTTTTATAATTAAACAGACTTGTCTGCCTCCAATTCACTATCTTCAAGAGCATTTTGAAGAATGTAAAGATATTCAGTGAGGTTTTTGAATCCCACTACTTATAGTGGAACATGTTAATTGAGTACACCTTTCCCTCACTTTATGCAGGTTTTGTATGTGTGAATTCGCTCTTCTGCAGTGACCTTTTTTATACCAAAAATTTGTTATATGCGAGGTAAATTCACTCTTATGCGATTGGTGTGGTGGAAGCCTGCAGTCAGCTGCTTTGTGCGGTGCATTGTGGGAGCGATGCACACCAAACTATTGTCTCCTGTGTGGATCTGTGCTCCTCACTCGTTGTCTGTGACGCGTGTTTCTGTAGTTGCCGTCCCCATTATGGTAACATTCACCACCACCGTATGCTTGTGTGTACTGTCTGCTGTTTGTGAATACCAAAATTGTCATGTAAAAGTGGTAGAAATGGGTCTGGGGGTCAGTACAGTTGGGATCCTGGAACGTATCCCTATTTGTTACAATGTAAAATGTGTTCCCTTTATGTGAATTCGAGTTATGCGCCGTTTTCCAGGAACACATGTGCAGCATAAAGCAAGGGAAATCTGTATGGTGAGA